TCTGTGGTTTTTATTTACTTTTTGGAATATTTCTATAGAATTTATTGGGGTTATATTGGTTAATTAAATAGATTTCAAGTTTACATTTCTATAATACATCATCTGTATATTGTATTGTGTGTTCACCACCCATAGTCTAGTCTGCTTCACAATTTCATTTTTAAAAACCTGGTTTCCGCCCAGCCAGTGTGGCTCAGTAGATTGAGCATCCTCCCATGGACTGTGGTCCTGGTTCGATTCCTAGTCAGGGCACATGCCTGGGTTGTGGGCTTGATCCCCAGTAGGAGGCGTGCAGGAGGCAGCTGATGCATGTTTCTCACATGGAAGTTTCTATCTCTCCCTCTCTCTCCAAAAAAAAAAAAAAAAATCAATGAAAACCTGGTTTCCCAGCTCAATGCAGATCAGCCACAAAAATTAGAAGTGGGAGAGGGGTGCAAAGTTTAATAATAGTGGGCTAGTTGTAAGAAGTGACAACAAATAGAGGAAGAAGATGCAAAACTGCAAAACACAGACATTCTAAGCATAGTAGCCTAGAGTCCTGTAGTGTGAAGGCAAATAAGCCCCTGTACCTTAGGGTTCCTAGAGGTCATTAGAGTATTAAAATATTGTGTATTATTTGAGCATGGTAATTACTCTGCATTAATAAGAAAGGTAACTTTGTATATCCCTTGTTTAAGAAACTGTTTTCAAGGAAAAGATTACTGAACAGCAAGGCTTAGCCTATAATGTACTTATTTACAAGCTGCTTTTGAAATTTGAAATTCAAAAATAATTAAAATACTTTCAGAAGTTTGGCACTCAAAGAGAAGTTTCATCTCTGGAAATTTTATTTATGGAATATTTATTATTCTGTTCTCTAGCAGTGCCAAATCAATTAGGCATTAATTGTAGTTGTTAAAGGCAGATCAAGATTCAGGGCCTTTGAATTAATTAGTTTAGTCCAACCCAAGAAGTAGCACTAATTGCCTTTACTTTGGTGCTCAGTCATAGTAGCACTTAGAATATTTTCATAACCATCATCTTTTAAGACTTTACCCAGAAAGGAGGCGATATTGCAAAGTACTTGAGAAAGTGGGCCCTAGAGTCAGACTGCCTGAGGTGAAATTCTGGCCCTACTATTTACTAGCAGTACAACTTAAATTACCTAATCTAACCCATGCCTCAGCTTTTCATTTGTAAAATAGTGAAGTTACTACAACTACCACATAGGAAAGTTGTGAGGACTAAAGCTAAAGCAAATCAAGTGTTAGCACAGTTTTTGAAACCTGCTTAATAAATGGTGCCCATTGTTTTATTCAAGGGCCCTATTAGGAATGCTTCCTGTGGGAACACTAAATAACGATTTACTGTTTCTTCCTGTGAAATGAATGGTTCTTTTCTCATCTTTGCACATGATACAAATCATTTTAGCCAACTTTGCATATTATAAACATGCTTTTACTTTTTACTAGATGCTGATGTTCTATAAATAGATAAAAAATGTGTCACAAGCCCGGCCAGTGTGGCTCAGTGGTTGAGTGTCGACCCATGCACCAGGAGGTCACTGGTTCGATTCCTGGTCAGGGCACATGCCCAGGTTGTGGGCCCAATCCTCAGTGGGGGCATGCAGGAGGCGGCCAATCGATATATTCTCTCATTGATGTTTCTCTCTCTCTCTCCTTCTCCCTTCTCTCAAATCAATAAAGAAAAAAAATGTTTTTAAATGTGTCACAGAAGAATTCTGGTCTTATAGACTACCCTGTTAGAGACAATTTTAGACTTATTTAGATTGGAAGAAGCTATGGTAGTCTGAAATGCTTTACCTATCTACCAAGTGCTTAAGCATTCTATAACATTTAAATATACTTCAAATGTGAGTGTCTTTTGTAATTAGTTTTTTGTTTAATGGCATCACCAGATGCAAGCAGGATCCCAAGCTGATCATCAGCTCAATATAATCTGGCTTTTTTCATGTTCCCTATTATTAAGTGGGCTGGAGCTTGACAGGCTTTGGGTATCTTTCCCGTGTTCCAAAAATTTATTTTAGGCTCCCCACTACTGACATACTGCCAAAGTGCCTTGGAGAAACTTAGTGAAGTTCATCATTTGAGTTTCAATGGAGCAATTCAAAGCTGCTGAAGAAACTAGCACCTATTATGTGTGCCTCATGTACTCTCTCACGTAATTTTTATAGTAGTCCTGTGAAGTAGGTGGCTTACTCTCTTTTATAGAGAAGACTGAGGCCTGGAGAAATTAATTTGATAAAGATCTCACATAGGGTAAATGGTAGAGATAATATCCAAGCAAAGTTCATCTGCTTGAAAACCCATGCTTTTTTTCACTATGTCCCCTTGTCTCTCAAAAGGAAGTAATAAATTACTCTTTATAGTTTGTACACAGCCATATGTAAACCCCACCAGAACCAATCTGGAATATTTCTGTGTCAACAACCAGTCCATAACTTAGATCCTGTGAATCAATAGCCAGAAAGTGCTTTTTATGGAACCAGTTACACACAAAAGATAAATGTGGCTCCCTATTCTGTATTTTTTTGTTTTGTTTTATTTTGCTTTGTTTGTTTATACAGATCTAAAAATCTGGTCAAATTTTCCAAAATGAGGGACATAGGGAAGGCAGAATTTTTTTTTTCTTCCCTTCTGTACCTCATATGGGGCTTAAGTTTTTTTAAGTCTTATTTTCTCTAACCTATATGCCTCTATGGCAGGGGATTTTTTCCCCCTGGTTGGCATTTAGAATATGTACCACATGGAAATTTAAGCTTCCTTCAAAGTTTTTGTTTTACTTACTTTTGTTGTTATTTTCTTTGCACTTGTATTATTGTAGATATTGTTTGTTCGGCTTTTTTTTTTTTTTTTTTTTTTGCTTTTTTAAAATCTGAGTACTTGGTCCTGATCAATCTTCTGGATAAACATGATTTTGTTATATAGCAGTATAGGTTTGTCAGAGAAACCAAATAATTGAGACTATAAACACTTTCATTTCTGGAATTTGTCTTTTGTTGATATGAAATTATATTGTCCAGGCACTGCATTTAATGAGCAGGCAGCATTTTATACAGCTTCCTTGTATTGTTTTGTTAATCCTCACCCAAGGGTATTTTTCCATTGATTTTTTAGAGAGTGTAGAAGAGCGAAAAGGTGGGAGAGAGAAAAACATTGAGGTGAGAGAGACATTGATTGGTTGCCTCCAGCATCCACCCCAACTGGGGCCAGAGATCAAATCTGCAACCCACATATGTGCCCTGGACCAGGAATCAAACCCATGACCCTTAGGTGTGCAGTCTGATGCTAACCACTGTGCCATTACCAGCCAGGGCTATACAACTACCTTTTTAAAACAAGTCTTGAAACCCCCCTAAACTAGAATCGTGTCTTATTCACCTTCACATCTCTAGTCCCTGGTACATGGTAGGTATTTCATAAATGTTTGTTGAATAAAGGGGTTGATTTTCTGTTAAATGGCAAAAGAACTTTTTTTTTTTAATCACACTTACGTTTTGATTAAAGGTCAAGGATTCCTCTACCAGATATAGATTACTCAGTTTGGCATGTAAAGAGCATGGTAGTAGGGCTCAATGCTTTTCTTGGTTCTGCCCCTAAATATGTGACTTTGGTGCAAGTCATTTAATCTCTCAGCACCTCAGTTTTTATCTGTGAACAGAAGCTGTGTTCTTGAAGGTACCATTCAATACAAAGATGTATCATCTACGATCATTGCATTTTACAAAAAAACAAAATTAGGTATGGCATAGTAATATTAATCATTTAAAAGTGTTTATTACTTCATAACCCTAAAATGTACTAAGTGGCTATAAGTATATGTCTCTCTTTTATGCTTTGTAGTGGATATCAAGCTGTTTCTATTTGAAGAAAAATATGTCGAGGGTGTGTGAAAATAATTGGTGAAATGTTACTTTTAAAAATTATTGTATCTGGAATAGTCTGCGTTTAAGAACAAAGTTTTGCTCCAGTAGAAAAATGAGCGGCAAATAAAACTGGGTTACTCTCTTCAAAAGCACTGTAAAGGTCTAATGCATATAAAACTTTTCATCTATGCTATAGATCAAGTTAAGACAACAATGAAATATACTTTTGTCTATTAAATTTGTAAAATTTAAAAAACACTCATTTTTACAGGGGTATTAAGAAACATGCACTCAAGAAAAACAAGTTTCATATGATCTCACTTATTTGTGGAATATAATGACCATAACAGTCTGAGGAATGGGGTAGTCCCAGAGACGTGGAAGTGGGGTACAGACTGACAATTTCCAGAAGAGGGTGGTGGGGGAGAGATAAACCGCAGAACTTATATGCATGTATGCATGAACAGTGGACATGGACAACAAACTGGGGAAAGGGCAGGGAGGGAGGGGTGGGGGGAATCAGTGGGAGGAAAAGGAAAAACACTTGTAACAGAAATTAATTAATAAAAAAAGTGAAAAAAAAAAAAAAGAAACATGCACTCAAGAAAAGTAGGAGTGTAAATTGGTGCATATGTTCTGGAGGGCAATTTGAAAGTTTCTCAAAATGCTGAACTTTTGGCCTGCAGTTCCACTTTAGAGAAACTTATTTTAAAGAAAGTTGTCATGGACGAGTACAAAATGTTTTCACAAAGTTGCTTATTATTATGTCATATAATGAGTGGGGCAAAAGTAGGGTTACAATTGTGAGTACGAGAAACAGTTTATTTTTATATTAGTATTTATGAATTATTGTTTCATTTTCCATATGCACAACTGTAAACCTACTTTTGTCCCACCCTGTGTATACCTGGGAAGACAAATAATACTCAAATCTCTATATGGTAAGAATATGGGTCACTTTCATTTTCTTCTCTATTTTTTTTTTATGTTTTCTACATTTTCTATATGCACAGAGACTTTTTTTCAATCACAAAATATATACATGTTTTTAAAACGTGGACTTTAATAAATGTATAGAAATATTTCCCTTCTCACCTGCACTATTCAATGCCACCTTGCTTTTATTTCTGAACAGGTCTTCAGAAAGGGTTGGAATTTCAACATTAGAGGTAAGTTGCACTTTCTGAAAGTTATGTTTCTACAAAAATGTACACTTTCCATTCATTTTTCTCTTTTATGTAATTTTTCATTTTCTTGCTTTTGCTTTGTGTTACATATTTTTTGCTAAATAATATTGTCTTTGTATCTCACTAGGTGTGATTAAATAATGAAATACTTAATTATATATTGTGCTATAAGAAAGGGACTATAAATATTTTTTAGATATCCACTAATTTTTATTTGGTTTATAATTTTTGAAATAAAAGAACACTCTAAAATTCGTGTGTGTGTGTGTGTGTGTGTGTGTGTGTGTGTGTGTTTTAATTGAAAAAGTAATACTTGCATGACAATGTGGAGTAAAACACTTGTATATTTCTTATGGGCACCTGTATTGGTATTGTTACCATGTATATAAATCAATCCCAGTCTTATATATCCAAGCAAAGGAGTTTTGTATAAAGACACTATGTCCCTGAGAGCCTTTTTAAGTACAGGAATATCACCAAATGGATATTCTTTGATATTTGATATTTAATATCAAATAGGGTATATACTGTGTGTGTGTTTGTATGTGTTTGTATGTGTTGTGTATGCCTGTACATATGTTATCTTTAATCTCAAACATGCTTTATTTTTCCACTTTCAGTGTCCCTACCTTTTTATATATATTAGATACTGATCTCTGATAAATTGTGGTATATTTATATGGAATAGTCTACAGCAATAGATATGAATGAACTAGTTATATACAATAATATGGATGAATTTCAGCATCATAGTGTTGAGTGGGGGGGCAACTCACAGAAAAAGATGTGCAGTAAAATTCCATTTATATTCAGTTCAAAAGCATGTGAAATTAAAGAATGTATCATTTAGAGTTACAAGCATAGTCAAACTATAAAGAATAGCAGGGGAATGATAAACACAAAGTTTAGAATGTCAGTCATCTCTAAGAGGAAAAGAATGTAATGGAAATGGAAAAGACTATACTAGAGATTTGAAAGCTAATGGTAATTGTTCTTTTTCTTAAATTGAATGCTTAAGAATGGTTATATCATAATTCTTTATCCCTTATGTTTTATTAAAATTATTTAATATTCTAATAACAATTTTAAAATGTTTATTTTGTTGGTTTTTAGAGAGAGAGAGATAGAAACATCAATGAGAGAGAAACATTGATTGGCTGCCTCCTGCACTCCTCCTCCTGGGGATCGAGCCCATAACCAGGGCCTGTGGTCTGACCGGGAATCGAACTGGTGATCTCCTGGTGCATGGGTCTATGCTCAATCCACTGAGCCACACCGGCCTGGCAATCAAAACAATTTTTAAAGTAGTACATAGAAATGGTTACAATTTGCTCAGTGAAAAAGTAGATGGTTGAAATGCAACTCCTCTTCCATCACTCATCTTTAGAATCCCCACATCCAGAGACCATTGCTATTTATTATGCTTGTAGGTTTTAAAAGCCACTTAGCTCTAAGATATTTTTAGGTGATAACAAATAGGTTTTGGAATTTACAGTAATTATAGATTGTCCTTAACTTGAATAAAATCAGATGGGCAATGTACATATTTAGTAAATAAATATGAAGTTCGATATTGTTCTTTTTTACTTTTTATTTTGAAATAATTATGGAGTCACAGGAAGCTGCAAAGACAGTACAGAGAAATCCTGTGTATCCTTCACCCATTTCCCTAGTGGTTATATTTTATTTATAGTTCAATATCAAAGCCAGGAATTTGACATTGATATAATGTGAGCGTATAGTTCTGTGTCAATTTATAAACTCACATCTGCCACCTCCCCTCCATCATCCATGACCCTTGGCAGCCACTAATCTGTTTTCCATCGCTATAATTTTGTCATTTGAGAATGTCCTATAAATGGAATCATATAGTGTGTGACCTTTTTTTTTTTAAACCTCACCCGAAGATATTTTTCCATTGATTTTCAGTTAGAGTGGGAAGGAAAAAGGGAGGGAGAGAAAGAAAGAGAGGGAGGAAAACATCGATGTGAGAGAGACACATCGACTGGTTGCCTCCTGAAGGACCCCAGCCAGGGCCAGGGATCAAATGGCAACCAAGATACATGTCCTTGACCGGAATTGAACCCAAGATTCTTTGGTTTGTGGGCTGACGCTCTAAATGCTGAGCCAGACCAGCCAGGGCTAGTGTGTGACCTTTTAAGATTGGATGAAAGGATTGAGATCCATCCAAATTGTTGCATGTTTCAATTGTTTGTTCCTTTTCACTGTGAAGTAGTAGTCTATGGCATGGATGTACTCAGACTATTGAGTACATATTATGTATAAACAGCATATTGATTGATATCTTAAGCAAACCAAAAAAAAATTTGATGTAGTCCTGATATTTGATGATTTTATAATCTCACAGAAGAACAAATGACATATGTGGTATTGATGTTTGTAGAATAGAATACCTTAATAGAATGACCTTAAGTTCTACAAGGAGTTTGGAGTAGGAAAGGAGAGACAGAGTGACCATGAGAGTACTATTACCTGGAATAGCAGAGAAAAGTTTTAGGAAAGAGGTAGAACTTGTGCTGGGCTTTGAAAACTGGGAGAGATTTGCATAGGTAGATAGAGAAAAATTGGGAAAGCATTGTTTGTTAGGCAATAGTATGAACTAATTAATATGCAAAGACAGAATTTTCTGGGAGCAATGAAACACTGGTGTGACCCATGTAAACATTTTAGTTATAGAATGCTGGAGGGAAAAAATGGGGCCAGAATTAATGAACCTTGAATGCCAGGTTAAAACTCTGGGCTTCAAATTTTTTAAAATATTTAATTGATTTTTTTTTTTTTTTTAGAGAGAGGAAGGGAAAGGATGATAGAGATAGAAATATATCGATGTGAGCGAGAAACATTGATTGGCTGCCTCTAGCACACCCCCTACTGGGGGTCAAGTCCAAAACCCGGACATGTGCCCTGACCAGGAATCAAACCAGTGACCTCTTGGTCTATGGGTCAACACTCAACCACACCGACTGGTCTGGGCTTTATATTTTTGATGAAAGATATTTAAAACATCAATTTTTATATGTCTTGCAGTTGTGGAAGTTGTTTTGCTGAGGAATTAGCAAAAGATAAGCGGTGGTAGGATGGAAAAATGTTTGGAGGAAAGAGACTAAGTACAGAGAGAGATTCGTTAAGAGGCTGTTGGAATGTCAAGATATAAGACTCTGACAAAGGGACAGTGTTGATAGGAATGCATGGATGCATATGACAACTATTTAAGAGTTGATTCCTGTTGTTTTTTCTGTTCTTTGAGTGTAGATCACTTTTGTATAAATGATTTGTGAAACTGAGTCTTTTATTGGATATGCTTATTAAAATGTAAAAGCTCAAATCTTATAACTCAATACTGTAAGAAGGGTACAAGCAGCTCCCTGATATTAAACATAAATGGAGGTGGTATGAATTGCTAGGAAGTGAATTATCTACCACACTTTTTAAAGGAAGCATATTTCTCAGGTTGTGATAGATTGGGATTAGAGAAATGGCCTGGTGGTGGGAAGCTGGGATTTAGTAGGTACTGTACTTCAGTAATGGTGCAGCCCAAATCCAGAGGGGGTAACAAATGAAGACTGTTTCAAGTCTAGCTAAGTTGGTGTTAGTTTTCTGCAGGCACATGCTTGGCTTCCATTACTTTATTCCCAAAGCCTGATTGAGGTGCTAGGGGAAGGACCTGGACCTTAGACAGCTCTGGGAGAGAATCATATATGACATACATAGTTAGGTATACAGATATGCATAAGTAGATATGCATATACATGTCTATATAGATATATCTATACTAAATATAGATATACTAAATGAGGTTTTACCAAGAATTCTTTCAATTTAACTTCTCTAGAGAGCAGACCCTCTGGTAGGTGCCATATCACTCCTTTAAAATTATGACTTAATAGCAGTTTAATTTACAGGACTTGATAGCATTCAAAAGTTCAAGTCCAAGGGAGTTTTGTTAAAGCCAAATAAAATAGAAGTCTAATCACTACCTGGCAGTTTTGGTCAGCATACGAATATTAATCTGTGATCTTTGTAATTAGTTCAAACAAATTAAAGTGAAGTACAAGAGTTTTTAGTGTGTAATTTTGCTTAGGTTAGTTTAGGGGAAATATCCACGGAATTAGGTTGTATAATGCTTCTCATTTTCCTACTATTCAACAGTTATTGGAGGATAATTGGATACTTAATTCATAAGACAGTTTAAGTTATTTCTCTAATATGTATTAACTGTTCTTTTTTTTTTCTTTGTTCCTAGTTTTATTAAGATATAAGTGACATACATCACTGTTTAAGTTTAAGGAATACAGTATGATGGTTTGATTTACATATATTGTGAAATGATTTCCACAATAGATTTACCTAACACCTGTCTTCTCATATAGATAACAATAAAAAGAAAAGAAGGAAAAAAAAGTATTTCCTTGTAATGAGAACTCTTTACTCTTCTACCAGCTTTCCTGTCTATCAAGCAGCAGTGTTAGTTATAGTCATTGTATTGTACATTGCATCCCTGGTACCTATTTATTTTCTAAATGGAAGTTTGTATCTTTCGACCACCTTCCTCCAATTCATTCTTCCCCCACCTTTAATTGCTTTTGATTATAGGGTTTTTTAAGTTTAAAACCAATATTTGATTAAAGAATATATAAACTTAAGGTATGTGTATTAATTGAAGAAAAGCCAGAGCATGCGTTATTCAACATTCAGTCAGCAAAAGATTACTTTTGCCAGGCACTGTTTTAGGTATTGGGTAAGTAGTAGGTGGTAGACAAAACAAACAAGGTCCCTGCTGTCATGGAGATGACATTCTAGTGGAGTAGGGAAGAGACAAAAAAATAAGTAAAGAAGGTCATTTCAGATGGTGATAAATGCAAAGAAGAAAAAGAAAATGGGCTAATGTGATAGAAAATTGAGGGGGTGAGGCTATTTTAGGGTTGCCAGGGAAGTCTGTTCTGATGTATAACACTTGAGCTGTAACCCTAAAGATGGTAAGGAACCATCAAGTATAATTGTGGGATTTGGGTGGGAGAAGGAGGTAAGAAATGTAGATGTCAGAGATGTAGGCAGGGGCAATATCATGTTAGGCCCTCATGGGCTGTGATAGAGTTTGGATTTTATCTAACACTTAAAATTACATGAAACAGTTTTTCTCTAGTAGAATCTAGATAAGATTGATAGTGTTCCCCAAATACTGGGAGGATCCAATGAAAAAACTTTTCAGCTTGAAGATATTGAAAGTCCTACAGAAATTTCTCTAGCACTTTGTGTCATTAGCATTATAATATTCTCTGGAGTAATTATATCATTTAGCCTCTCACGATCATATCCTGATACTTGGTAGAAGTGCTACTTTAATACTTATATACATCCTTATGTGCCTTAGGTCACTTATCTGACCAAAAAAAATGGTTATAGCGGCCTTCTTTAATACGCTCTGTGGCATGCACCAAGAATTATGAAGAGTTTTTTTTTTTTTTTCTTAGTATCAGGAGTAGCATTCAAATGTACTTCTATAAATGTAAAGACAACTTAAAATAGAGAAGAATATGGTGTTACATTTTGCAAATGTATGATTATCTTATTTTACTCAAATTTTTTTCCAACAAAAATGCAGTATCCACTTCTACCTTCTCTAACCTCCCAAATATATATATATATGTACGTATGTGTATATGAATGTATACGTAGATATATATGTATTTTTGGTGGGTTTAATTTCATTCATCTGTTACTGTTTTGAGGGCTTCATTTAATTTCTGGTTAAATCTTAATTCCTGTTATCTAAAAAATATAGAGTTTTTAAGAAAACAATTGGCCCGGTTTGTGTGACTCAGTGGATTGAGCATCGTCCCATGAACTGAGAGGTCCCGGTCAGGGCACATGCTGGGGTTGTGGGCTCAATCCCCAATAAGGGGAGTGTAGGAGGCAGCCAATCAATGTTTCTATCTCTCTCACCTTTCCTCTCTAAAAAATCAATAAAAACACATTTAAAAAAAAACAATTGTCTGAATATGGTTTTCTGTGTTAAAAACTTTTGTATTTATGGAACAATACTTTGGGAAAAATAACAATTCTATTAGTTTTGCCTAATTCCTTAATCTTTTTAAGCTACAAAAGTACTTAGTAGTTCTTATCTTCCTGTACAGTTTTTTAAGGTTAAAAAGTTAGACACTTTTAAAGGGAAATATTCTGTTGCAGTAGAAAAAATTAAAAATTGCTGACTGATAACCATCTTATGCAAACCATGTTGTCCCAGTTGGCAAAAAATCTCTGGGCATCTTATCAGTATACAAACATCTAAGCCCTTTATGGGCCTTTGATTTATTACTGCTATATTTTCTCATTTGTACCCATTTTCAACAGAGTTTCAAAGAAAGGATATTATCATTTGGTCTCTGTTTCTTTTGTTTTAAAATAGGAAACAGAGAACACTGCACACAAAGTTGGAAATGAGTCCCCTGTACAAGAATTGAAACAAGATGTATCTAAAAAGGTTGGTAAGATACAATGTCAATATTAGTTTAACAGTTGTCATTTACATGGTATATTTACTTATTTTATTATTTTTTACATGGTATATTTAAAATGGAAAATTTTCTATATTCTTCTGGTACAGTGGTCTGTGCGTGGTGGATGTTTAGTAAATGTTTCTTGAATCTGTTGAATTTGTGATTGAAGATCATCCGGTTTTTTAGAAATCATTTCATAATTGTAACTTATTCTTGAAACAGTATTTTTTATTAAATTTATTGGGATGACATTGGTTAATAAGATTATATGAGTGTCACGTGTACAGTTCTATAATACATGATCTGTATATTGCATTGTGTGCTCATCACCCAAAATTTAGTCTCCTTTTGTCACCATATATTTGACTCCCTTTACCCTCTTTAACCCCCCTGCCCCAGCCCCCTTTCCCTGTGGTTTTAAATTGTACTTGGAAAGATATTTTGTAATGTGTCTTTACTTTTATGCTTGTATTTTTATTAAAATAAGTTATAACTACTCTTGAGGTTACTACCAAAAGTATTGAAAACTCAGTGCAGCAAATTCTGACGTCTTTAGACATTGGAGGTTATAAGAAGTCATTACTCTGATAGTGCCTTTGATGCTTTTTAAAGAATTGATGCAATGAAGCCTCAGAATTTGATTTACTAGAAGAGACTGAGCACAAGATAAAATTTTTGACAATGGGGTAGTTCACAGTATCAACATAAAACCCAAGGAGAAAGATGTGTGTTCATTCATTTCTGTTGAGTGTTTTCTGAACCTCAGGCACTATAGTAGCCAGTAGGCTTCCAGAAACCAACAAAATGACACATTATCTACCCTAGAGTTTTTCAACAGTGACACTTTTGATAGTTGGGGCTGGCTAATTCTTTATTGGGAAAGGAAGGGGAAACTGTTCTGTGCATTGTAGGAAGTTTAGCAGCATTCCTGGCTTCTTCCCACCCAGTGGATTCCCTCCACCCCATCATGACAACCAAAAATATCTCCAGATATCACCAAAAGTCTAGGGAAGAGTGCCAACCAAAATCACCCCCAATGAAGATTTATTGTTTTACCTTTATGGAATTTTAAAATATAATTGACTGCATATTTTAATATTGATCATACTTTTTCCTTTATAATGAAAACTTCCCTTTTGGGTAGAAATGGTGGTATTGTGTATCAGCATAAGTAATAAGAGTGGTATCACCCTGGCCAGGTGACTCAGTTAGTTGGAGCCAAAAGGTTACAGGTTTGATTCCTCATCAGGGCACATACATACCTAGGCTGTGAGTTTGATCCCCTGTCTGGGCAAGTGTGGAGGCAACCGATCAATATTTCTCTCTCAAGTGGATGTTTCTTTCTCTCCTTTCTTTCTTTTCTCTCTAAAATCAATAAAGACATATCCTTGGGTGAGGGTTAAAAAAAAAGAGTGGCATCTTTAAAGAAAATTAGAAATTGCCTGCAATTATGCACTGTAACAAATAGCTATCTTGATTTTTCAGCATTTCCTTCTAGTTTTCATCTATTTGCATGCTTATTTCCTGATTGTAGAGTAGATAGAAATTTGTATTCTACCTTTTTCTCTTGCCATTTTTAGATCTTCATCATATTTCTACATGATTTCAGTACTCCATTTCCATTTGATATATTATCAGTTTCCATCAAGTAAACGTATTACACATGTGTCTGGCCATTTTCGTTGTTGAAAGCTTGAAATGGTTGTACTTTATCCACTAGAGGTTTTCTTTCCCTTTTTTAAAAAAAAATTTTGTTTTATTTTTAATTTTATTTTGGTTATAGAAGTTTCTCCTTTTTTACCCATTGATACCCACCTTTCCATCCATCCCGCCCTGTCCCCCACTTTGTTGTCCATGTCCATTGCTTATGTATACATGCATATTAGTTCTGTGGTTTATGTCTTCCCTCCCCCCCACTACCACCTCTTCTTAGGGTTGTCAGTCTGTACCCTACTTCCATTTTTCAGGGTCTACCCTATTCCTCAGACTGTTATGTTCATTATATTCCATAAATAAGTGAGATCATGGGGTATTCGTCTTTTTCTGCTTGGCTTGTTTCACTAAGGATAATACTTTCCAGGTCCCTCCATGTCGTCTCAAAGGATAAGAGATCTTTTTTTCTTACAGCTGCATAGTACTCCATTGTATATATGTACCACAGCCTTGTTATCTACTCGTCTACTGATGGCTGTTTCCAGATCTCAGCTATTGTAACTAATGCTTCTATGAACATGGGGGTACATATATTCTTTCTGATTGGTGTTTCAGGCTTCTAAGGGGACATTCCTAGAAGTGGGATCACTGGGTCAAATGGAAGTTCAATTTTTAATTTTTTGAGGTAACACCATATTGTTTTTCATAGTGGCTGCACCAGTCTACATTCCCACCAGCAGTGTACTATAATCCCCTTTTCTCCACACCCTCGCCAACACTTGTTGTTTGATGATTTGTTGATGGCAGCCATTCTGACAGGTGTGAGGTGATACCTCATTGTTGCTTAAATTTACATCTCTCTGATAATTAGTGATGTTGAGCATTTCTTCATATCTCTCCTAGCCATTTTTGTATGTCTTGTTTGGACAGGTGTCTGTTTAGTTCCTCTGCCGATTTTTTAATTGGGTTCTTTGTCTTCCTTTTGTTGAGTTGTATGAGTATTCTATATACTTTGGAAATTAACCCCTTATCTGATGTATCATTGGCAATGATGTTCTCCCATACAGTGGGTTGCCTTTTCATTTTGATGGTTGTTCGTTTGCTGTGCAGAGATTTTTAGTTTGATGTAGTCCCATGTGTTCATTTTTTCTTTTGTTTCTGTTGCCTTAGGTGATATGTCAGTGAAAATTCTGCTGCGTATGATGTCCGAAATTTGTTGCCTACATTTTATTCTAGAATTTTTATGGATTCACGGGTCACATTTAAGTTTTTCATCCATTTTGAGTTTATTTTTGTGTATGGTGTAAGTTGATGGTCTACTTTCATTTTTTTGCATGTACCTGTCTAATTTTCCCAACACCATTTATTAAAGAGGCTGTCCTTACTCCACTGTATGCTCTTGCCACCTTTGTCAAATAATAATTGAGCATATAGCCTTGGGTCCATTTCTGGGTTCTCTATTCTGTTCCACTGGTGTGTACGCCTGTTCTTGTACCAGTACCAGGCTGTTTTGATTACAGTCGCTTTGTAGTATAACCTGATATCTGGTATTGTGATCCCACCTGCTTTGTCCTTTTTCAAGATTGTTGTGGTCTTTTTTTGTTGTGGTCTTTTTTTGGGGGGTCTTTTTTTGTTCCATATGAACTTTTGAGGTATTTGCTCTAGTTCTGTGAACTATGTCGTTGGTATTTTGATGGGGATTGCATGGAATCTATATATTGCTTTGCGTAACATGGACATTTTAATGATGTTAATTCTTCCAATCCATGAACAAGGTATGTGCTTCCACTTTTTTATATCTTCCTCTATTTCTTTTTCCAATGTCCTGTAGATTTCTGCAAATAGGTCCTTTACTTCTTTGGTTAAGTTTATTCCTAGGTATCTTAATTTTATTGCCATGATGATAAATGGGATTGTGTTTTCAGTTTCTATTTCTGTGAGTTCATCATTGGTGTATAAGAATGTCGTCGATTTCTTGACGTTAATTTTGTATCCTGCTACTTTGCCAAATTCATTTATTAAGTGTAGTAGATTTTTGATGGAGTCTTTAGGGTTCTCTATGTATAATATCATGTCATCTGCAAATAATGACAGTTTCACTTCCTCGTTTCCAATTTGGATCCCTTTTATTTTTACTTCACATCTGATTTCTGTGACTAAGACTTCCAGTACTATGTTAAATAAGAGTGGCAAAAGTGGGCATCCCTGTCTTGTGCCTGTTCTTAAGGGAAATGCTTTTAGTTTTTGCCCATTGAGTATGATGTTGGCTATAGGTCTTTCATATATGGCCTTTATTATGTCGAGATATGATCCCTCTATTCCCACATTTCTGAGTGTTTTTTATCAGAAATGGATGCAGAATTTTGTCGAATGCTTTTTCTACATCTATTGATATGATCATGGGGTTTTTATTCTTCATTTTGTTTATGTAGTGTATCACATTTATAAATTTCTGAATATTGTACCAGCCTTGCATCCTTGGGATAAATCCCACTTGGTCATGGTGAATAATTTTTTTAATGTGTGTTTCTAGAAATTTGTCCATTTTGCTTAGATTGTAGAATTTGTTGCCATATAATTGTTCATAGTAGCTGTTAACGATCTTTTGTGTTTCTGTGGTGTCAGTTGTTACTTCTCCTCTTTCATTTCTGATTTTGTGTATTTGGGTTCTCTCTCTCTGTTTCTTGTTTAGTGTAGGTAAGGGTACATCAACCTCCTTTATCTTTTCGAAAAACCAGCTCTTTGTTTCATTGATCCTTTGAATTGTTTTTTTGTTCTCTATGTCATTTATTTCTGCTCTGATCTTTATTAGTTCCTTCCTTCTACTTGCTCTGTGGTTTTCTTTTTATTTACTTTCTAGTTCTTTAAGTTGTGAGGTTAGATAGTCTATTAGAAATTTTTCTTGTTTCTTGAGGTAGGCCTATAGTGCTATGAACTTCCCTCTCAGAACTCCTTTCGCTGCATCCCATAGATTTTGTGTTGTTGTGTGTTCATTTTCATTGGTTTCCAGGAAGTTTTTATTTTCTTCCTTGATCTCCATGGTAACCCATTCATTGTTTAATAACATGCTATTTAGCCTCTATGTGTTGAAATATCTTTGCATGTTTTTGTTGCAATTGATTTCTAGAAGTTGCTTGATATGATTTCAGTCTTCTTGAACTTGTAGAGATTTAGTTTGTGTCCTATCATGTAGTCTATCTTTGAGAATGTCCCATGTGCACTTGAGAAGAATATGAATTCTGTAGTTTTGGGGTGTAATTTTCTGTAGATATTTATTAAATCCATTTGGTCCAGTGCTTCATTTAGTCTGTGTTTCCTTGCTAATTTTTTG